GCTGGATCGGCGGTCAGCGCTTCAAACATCACACGCCGATGCTCACAAGTCAGTGGTTGGTTACTCTTTGACTCTGACTTCGTCTACTCCATGCGTTTCTCTGCCCAGGAGGACGCGATCATCTCTGGCTTCATTCACTCCGGCACTGGCACAACACCATGGATCACACAGTGGAAGACACGAGCCAGGACCAGAGCTAGAACCTCTCCGCCGCCCCTCCCTGTCTTCGAGATCTCGACCCGGAAACGCTTCTTCGCGAGTCGGAACGCGACGACGCCGTGATAATCGGCACGTCCATGATCCGTCATGTCAGTGCTACCTCAGGTAAGGGTAAGATGCGCACTCACTGCTTTCCTGGTGCTCATGTTCTTGATGTCGCTGCACAGGTTCCCGAGATCCTGAACGGTGATGAGCGTGTCGCAGCTGTTGTGCTGAACGTGGGAGCGAACGACATCAGGCTGAGGTTCTGAAGGACTACAGGAGCCTGATCGAGACGGTACGGAACACATCGCCTGAAGCAACGATCTTGTCTGGACTGCTTCCCACTTACAGACATGACTAGTAAGTCAAAGTCCAAATCACAGTTTTTCTTGTCCAAACTTAATTGATATGATTAGTGTGGAACATTATATTGAAACTGTGTCTATTCCTCGTTTAGTGACGCCTGTGGAGAGACGACTCACCGCCTGTGGAGAGACGATTCTGCCTGTGAGCTGCTGGATCGGTCAGCGCTTGAAACATCACAAGCTGATGTTCACAAGTCAGTGGTTGGTTACTCTTTGACTCTGACTTTGTCTACTCCATGCGTTTCTCTGCCCAGGAGGACGCGATCATCTCTGGCTTCATTCAGTCCGGCACGGACAACATCATGGATCACACAGTGGAAGACACGAGCCAGGACCAGAGATAGAACCTCTCCGCCGCCCCTCCCGGTCTTCGAGATCTCGACCCGGAAACGCTTCTCCCCTCTTCGCGAGTCGGAACGCGATGACGCCATGGTCATGGGCACGTCCATGATCTGTCATGTCTGTGCTACCTCAGGTAAGGATAAGGTGTGCACTCACTGCTTTCCTGGTGCTCATGTTCTTGATGTTGCTGCACAGGTTCCCAAGATCCTGAACGGTGATGAGCGCGTCAGAGCTGTTGTGCTGAACGTGGGAGCGAACGACATCAGGCTGAGGTTCTGAAGGACTACAGGAGCCTGGTCGAGACGGTACGCAACACATCGCCTGAAGTAACGAGCCTTGCACATCTAACCCTTTCTGTGTCTTCTTTAAATAATCTTTTCTAGATTTTTTTTCGACTAAGTTTTATTAGTCGTCTTCTAATTGATTTATCTTTAAAAAAGAAAATACATTTCTAATCCTTAAGCATATCCACGCACATGCTATTTAGCAGGCACTGAACTGTTCAATTACTGGCCAGAATTGAACAGTTAAAGCCCCACGTTGGGCGCCATGTTTTACGGAGTGTGTGCTTTAATCTTAACACCTTTTAACCTTATTATTTATTATCCTCAGGTTAGGTCGAGTAAGTCAAATCTGCCCTAAATCATAATCATTTGAATGGTATTTACAATTGTTCAGATGACTTCTCTGTGGTCAGTACTTGCTTAAGGTTTATTAACACTGTTAGACGATTACTTGTAATTAGCATTAGTTATTTATTAATGTAAATATTCTAGAAATAAAAGTTAGGCTCAAACTTAAATTCTTTATGCTGCAAAACTCTGGAATCTACTCCTGTGTAAGGGAAATCATTATGGACCTCAGCTATGCTAATTATTTCCCATCTGTTTTCTGCTGTTATCTCGGGACGCTTGTCCCGAGAAAAATGGCGTTCGTCAACTCCAGTTTTTCGGAGCTGCTGTACTGCACGTGGGAGCGAACAACATCAGGCTGAGGTTCTGAAGAAGTTCTACAGGAGCCTGATCGAGACGGTACGCAACACATCGCCTGAAGCAACGATCATCGTGTCTGGGCCGCTTCCCACGTACAGACAAGGACAGGAAAGGTTCAGTAGATTATTTGCACACACCTAATAAATAGTAAGTCAAAGTCAAAATCACAGTCTTTGTTGTCCAAACTTAATTGATATGCTTGGTGTGGAACATAATCTTGAAACTGTGTCTTCCTCGTTTAGTGACGCCTGTGGAGAGACTACTCTGCCTGTGAGCTGCTGGATCGGCGGTCAGCACTTGAAACATCACAAGCCGATGTTCACAAGTCAGTGGTTAGTTACTCTTTGACTCTGACTTCATCTACTCCATGCGTTTCTCTGCCCAGGAGCACGCGATCATCTCTGGCTTCATTCAGTCGAGCACTGACACAACACCATGGATCACACAGCGGAAGACACGAGCCAGGACCAGAGCAAGAACCTCTCCGCCGCCCCTTCCGGTCTTGGAGATCTCGACCCGGAACCGCTTCTCCCCTCTTCGCGAGTTGGAACGTGACTCCACCGTGATCATGGGCACGTCCATGGTCCGTCATGTCCGTGCTACCTCAGGTAAGGATAAGGTGCGCACTCACTGCTTTCCTGGTGCTCATGTTCTTGATGTTGCTGCACAGGTTCCTGAGCTCCTGAACGGTGATGAGCGCATCGGAGCTGTTGTGCTGAACGTGGGAGCGAACGACATCAGGCTGAGGTTCTAAAGAAGGACTACAGGAGCCCGATCGAGACGCAACGAATCACCTGAAGCAACGATCGTGTCTGCACTGCTTCCCACTTACAGACATGATTAGTAAGTCAAAGTCCAAATCACAGTTTTTGTTGTCCAAACTTAATTGATATGCTTAGTGTGGAACATTATATTGAAACTTTGTCTGTTCCTTGTTTAGTGACTCCTGTGGAGAGACGACTCGATGGCTGTGAGCTGCTGGATCAGCGGTCAGCACTTGAAACATTACATGCCGATGCTCAAAAGTCAGTGGTTGGTTACTCTTTGACTCTGACTTCGTCTACTCCATGCGTTTCTCTGCCCAGGAGGACGTGAACATCTCTGGCTTCATTCACTCCGGCACCGACACAACACCATGGATCACACAGCGGAAGACACGAGCCAGGACCAGAGCTAGAACCTCTCGGCCGCCCCTCCCGGTCTTGGAGATCTCGACCCGGAACTGCTTCTCCCCTCTTGGTGAGTCGGAACGCGACGCCACCGTGATCATGGGCACGTCCATGGTCCGTCATGTCTGTGCTACCTCAGGTAAGGATAAGGTGCGCACTCGCTGCTTTCCTGGTGCTCATGTTCTTGATATTGCTGCACAGGTTCCCGAGATCCTGAACGGTGATGAGCGTGTCGCAGCTGTTGTGCTGAACGTGGGAGCGAACGACATCAGGCTGAGGTTCTGAAGGACTACAGGAGCCTGATCGAGACGGTACGCAACACATTGCCTGAAGCAACGAGCCTTGCACATCTAACCCTTTCTGGGTCTTCTTTAAATAATCTTTTCTAGATTTTTTTTTTCGACTAAGTTTCATTAGTCGTCTTCTAATTGATTTATCTTTAAAAAACAAAATACATTTCTAATCCGTAAGCACATCCATGCACACGCTATTTAGTAGGCGCTTAACTGTTCAATTACTGGCCAGAATTGAACAGTTAAAGCCCCACGCTGGGCGCCATGTTTTACGGTGTGCGCTTTAATCTTAACACCTTTTAACCTTATTTATTATCTTCAGGTTAGGTCGAGTAAGTCAAATCTGCCCTAAATCATAAGCATTCGAATGGTATTTACAATTGTTCAGATGACTTCTCTGTGGTCAGTTCTTGCTTAAGGTTTATTAACACTGCTAGACGATTACTTGTAATTAGCATTACTTATTTATTAATATAAATATTCCAGAAATAAAAGTTAGGCTCAAACTTAAATTCTTTACGCTCAAACTCTGGAATAGCCTTCCCGATATGGTTCAAAGCTCTGACTCGCTGTCACAGTTTAAAACTAGACTAAAGATGCATCTCTTTAGCTCAGCATTCACATACTGCTTACCTTTTATTCCTCTGAATCAGATTGAATGCATTTAATACTATAAAACTTGAAGCGTCTGTAGGTTACTTGTATAGGTTGCATAGTATTTACAGTCATTACTTTCCTGTGTGTATTGCGTGAATGATGGATGGTTGGGCAGATATTGTGTTATTGCGGTAGGTGGTATGCCATACGGAACCGTTGCCACTGAAACGCATTACCGCGATAGTGGGGCTCGACAGCCTTAGTCAAACAGGTTGGGGCGTATGGTTGGGTTGCAGAGAGTTTGTAAGATTGTGGTTTTTAACATCTACTCCTGTGTAAGGGAAATCATTATGAACATCAGCTATGCTAATTATTTCCCATCTGTTTTCTGCTGTTATCTCGGGGCGCTTGTCCCGAGAAAAATGGCGTTCATCAACTCCAGTTTGTCGGAGCTGTCGTGCTGCATGCGGGAGCGAACAACATCAGGCTGTGGTAGACGGAGGTTGTGAAGGACTACGGGAGCCTGATCGAGACGGTACGCAGCACATCGCCTGAAGCAACAATCATCGTGTCTGGACCGCTTCCCAAGTAAATATCACGTGCCAATGCTCACAAGTCAGTGGTTGGTTACTCTTTGACTACCACTTCATCTACTCAATGCGTTTCTCTGCCCAGGAGGTCACGATCATCTCTGGCTTCATTCACTCCGACACCGACACAACACAATGGACCATGGATCACACAGCGGAAGACACGAGCCAGGACCAGAGCTAGAACCTCTCCGTCACCCCTCCCGCTCTTCGAGATCTCCACCTGGAAACGCTTCTCCCCTCTTCACGAGTCGGAACGCGACGCCACCGTGATCATGGGCACATCCATGGTCCGTCATGTCCGTGCTGCCTCGGGTAAGGATAAGGTGTGCACTCACTGCTTTCCTGGTGCTCATGTTCTTGATGTTGCTGCACAGGTTCCTGAGATCCTGAACGGTGACGAGCGCGTCGGAGCTGTTGTGCTGCAAGTGGGAGCGAACGACATCAGGCTGAGGTTCTGAAGGACTACAGGAGCCTGATCGAGACGGTACGCCACACATCGGACAACATCTGTCGGACAACAGCTCCAAGACGTTACACACCAGGTGGCTAGTAAGTCAAAGTCGCTCCTTTGAAAGGTGTGTTTCTCCTAGTTCCATCTCTTAGACTGTCTCTGCCTGTAAGGCTGTCTTTTGCCATCCTAATACACGAGAATCACCCCATGTATATGCTTGTATAAAAGTCTTGCTGGATTTTTTTAAATTTTTTTTTTCCTTGGCTTTTGCTGCCGTAGCTTAGCCTCTTTGGTATAGACTTATTAGTCTTTCCTTCACTCTTTAACTTATTTCTTATGTGCACATCTAACCCTTTCTGGGCCTTTTTAAAATAATCTTTTCTAGGTTCTTTTTTTTCGACTAAGTTTCACTAGTCGTCTTCTAATTGATTTATCTTTTTTTTTTTCAAAGGGTTAGTCCTTAAGCATATCCACGCACACGCTATTTAGCAGGCGCTTAACTGTTCAATTACTGGCCAGAATTGAACAGTTAAAGCCCCACGTTGGGCGCCATGTTTTATGGTGTGTGCTTTAATCTTAACACATTTAACCTTATTTATTATCCTCAGGTTAGGTCCAGTAAGTCAAATCTGCCCTAAATCATAAGCGTTCGAATGGTACTTACAATTTGTTTGCTTAACGTTTATTAACACTGTTAGACGATTACTTGTAATTAGCATTAGTTATTTATTAATTTAAATATTCCAGAAATAAAAGTTAGTCTCAAACTTAAATTCATTACGCTCAAACTCTGACAGCGAGTTTGAGCTAAATTCGTTACGCTCAAACTCAAACAGCGAGTCAGAGCTTTGAACCATATCAGGAAGGCCTTCCCGATATGGTTCAAAGCTCTGACTCGCTGTCACAGTTTAAAACTAGACTAAAGATGCATCCTTTAGCCAAGCATTCACATACTGCTTACCTTTTATTCCTCTTTTGAATCAGATTGAATGCATTTAGTACTATAAAACTTGAGTCTGTATGTTACTTGTATAGTTGCATAGTATTTACAGTCATTACTTTCCTGTGTGTATTGAGTGGTTGCGGAGAGTTTGTGAGATTGTGGTTTAACATCTACTCCTGTGTAATGGAAATCATTATGAACGTCAGTTATGCTAATTATTTCCCATCTGTTTTCTGCTGTTATCTTTGGACGCTTATCCCGAGAAATGGTGTTCGTCAACTCCAGCTTGTCGAAGCTGTTGTGCTGCACACAGGAGCGAACGACATCAGGCTGCGGCAGACAGAGGTTCTGAAGGAGGACTACACAAGCCTGATCGAGACGGTAAGCAGCACATCGCCTGAAGCATCGATCATCGTGTCTGGACTGCTTCCCATGTACAGACAAGGACGGGAAAGGTTCAGTAGATTATTTGCATTAATTGAATGATTAATGTCATTGTGTAATGAACAGAAACTGCTCTTTGTAAATAATTGGAATCTGTTCTGGGACAGATCTAGGCTGTATCGTGCTGATTGCTTCACCCCAGCAGAATCGGAGCGGCTGTTCTGTCGGACATCTCCAAGACGTTACACGCCAGATGACTAGTAAGTCAAAGTCCAAATCACAGTCTTTGTTGTCCAAACTTAATTGATATGCTTATTGTGGAACATTTATATTGAAACTGTGTCTATTCCTCATTTAGTGACGGCTGTGGAGAGACGACTCGACGCCTGTGGGCTGTGAGCTGCTGGATCGGCGATCAGCTCTTGAAACATCACGCGCTGATGCTCACAAGTCAGTGGTTAGTTACTCTTTGACTCCAACTTTGTCTACTCCATGCGTTTCTCTGCACAGGAGGATGCGATCATCTCTGGCTTCATTCACTCCAGCACAGACACGACACCATGGATCACACAGCGGAAGACACGAGCCAGGACCAGAGCTAGAACCTCTCCGCCGCCCCTCCCGGTCTTCAAAATATCCACCCGGAAGCGCTTCTCCCCTCTTCGAGTCGAAATGCGACGATGCCATGATAATCGTCATGTTCGTGGTCCGTCATGTCCATGCAACCTCAGGTAAGGGTAAGGTGTGCACTCACTGCTTTCCTGGCGCTCATGTTCTTGATGTCGCTTCACAGGTTCCCGAGATCATGAACGGTGACCACCGCGTCGGATCTGTTGTGCTGAACGTGGGAGGGAACGGCATTAGGCTGAGGTTCTGAAGGACTACAGGAGCCTGATTGAGACGTTATGCAACACATTGCCTGAAGCAACGATGATCGTGTCTGGTCCGCTTCCCATGTACAGACAAGGACAGGAAAGGTTCAGTAGATCATTTGCACTAAATGAATGGTTAATGTCATTGTGTAATGAACAGAATTGCTCTTTGTAAATAATTGGAATCTGTTCTAGGAGAGACCTAGGCTGTATCGTGCAGATGGCCTTCACCCCAGCAGAATCGGAGCGGCTGTTCTGTCAGAAAACATCTCCAAGACGTTACACACCAGATGACCAGTAAGTCAAAGTCGCTCCTTTGAAAGGAATGTTAGACTTATTTGCAGTGTTGGGCAAGTTACTTTTAAAAAGTAATTAGTTACAGTTACTAGTTACTTCTTCCAAAAAGTAACTAAATTAGTAACTCGGTTACAAATTTTAAAAATTGCGTTACTTTCAAGTAAAATTAAATTTTAAATGCTCAAATGTGACCCCACCTCTACCCCTATTTAACGGAACTTAAAACACATGTGCATGTTCAATTATTTATGAAAAATCTGATTTTTATAATGAAATGGACACTTAATACAATACATTAACAGAAACATGAAACACGCATCTAAAAAAAATGTTGCTGTGGGACAAAGTGAAACTAGCCTCCAATCAAATGCCATGTATGTAGATATTATGTTTATATAGTGGATCAATGCAAATAACACAATAGATGTTTTGGAACTTTCGATATTTAATGCCCCTCAACAGGCCACAACTGGGCAAAATTAAATTAAGTTTGTTAAACTGTTGAGTTATGTTCTCATTAACTATATTATTTTATGTTTCTTACTGTTATTTTGTTTTTACTTTATGCTATTTACGGTTACTAAAAATGTGCAAGAGTTCATTGTGCGCATTTGTGAACAAATGGGGACTTTTATTTTGACTCAACTTGTGTTCCTTCCTTGAGATGAATGTCGTGCTGCTGCTCCCTCGCTCACTGATGTTATGCCAGCGCATTGAGACGAAAACTAACAAATAAATAACACCGAGGAATTGTATCTGGATTGTTCTTTAGAGGATGGATGATCGCAACATATTGTGCATGGACATGACAGACGAAAATGAAAACTTAACATAAGCAATACCATTTAGAGAAGGCTACTTTTGGATTATTTGGGCTCGTCGGCATACCTGTCTCTCGTTGACTGACTGGCTTGTGTTATTCCTTGTGTCCGTTATTCCTGTCCGACTATGCGTTATGATGGGTCGTTCGCAATTCATGAGCGTTAGTCGATAGTGATGATGGGTCGTTCGCGGAGGAGCGTAGGTGATGATGGATCGACTTGTTTGCGAATGAGCTTTTGATGGGTCGTTCACTATTCGCGAATGAGCCGACTCTTTTATTTGAACGTCGGGAGCTGGCTCGCATATCTGAAGCGCCGACTCTATTTTTACAAATTTAGCCTATAGAAATTAAATAATTATATAATAAAAAGTGAAATATTATAGTCAAAGTCATTTAAAGAGCCGTTTGTGAGCCAAAAGAGCCGGCTCTTTTCAGAGCTGAGTCAAAAGAGCCGAATGCTCATCACTACTATGCGTGCTTTAGAACACCCGCCCAACTCTACCTCTGATTGGCTTACAGTGACAGTTTACTCTACCTCAGCCAATCGTCAGCATTTATGCGCTTGTCTCGTGCTCAATGGAAGAACAGTAAAAAAGTGTGCCTCTCGCTCAGAGATCTAGTTGGTCTGATGAAAATAAAAACAGCTTCATCAGTTGTTATAGTAACGGGACTCATTTTTGGCAGTAACGGTAACGGCGTTGTTAAGATGAGAAGAGTAATCAATTAGATTACTCGTTACTGGAAAAAGTAATGCCGTTAGTAACGGCGTTATTTTATAATGCCGTTATTCCCATCACTGCTTGTTTGTCTTTCCTTCACTCTAACTTATTTCTTATGTGCACATCTAACCCTTTCTGGGTCTTCTTTAAATAATCTTTTCTAGATTATTATTTTTTTTCGACTAAGTTTCTCTAGTCTTCTATTTGTTTTTTTTTAAATCTTTTTTTCTTTTTTTTTCAAAAAAGAAAAGAAAATGAAATTTCTAATTCTTAAGCATATCCACGCACACGCTATTTAGCAGGCACTTAACTGTTCAATTACTGGCCAGAATTGAAGAGTTAAAGCCACATGTTGGGCGCCATGTTTTACGTTGTGCTTTAATCTTAACACCAGTGATGGTAATAACGGCGTTATAAAATAACGCTGTTACTAACGGCATTACTTTTTCCAGTAACGAGTAATCTAATTGATTACTCTTCTCATCTTAACAACGCCGTTACCGTTACTGCCAAAAATGCGTCCCGTTACTATAACAACTGATGAAGCTGTTTTTATTTTCATCAGACCAACTAGATCTCTGAGCGAGAGGCACACTTTTTTTTACTGTTCTTCCATTGAGCACGAGACAAGCGCATAAATGCTGACGATTGGCTGAGGTAGAGTAAACGGTCACTGTAAGCCAATCAGAGGTAGAGTTGGGCGGGTGTTCTAAAGCACGCATAGTAGTGATGAGCATTCGGCTCTTTTGACTCAGCTCTGAAAAGAGCCAGCTCTTTTGGCTCACAAACGGCTCTTTAAATGACTTTGACTATAATATTTCACTTTTTATTATATAATTATTTAATTTCTATAGGCTAAATTTGTAAAAATAGAGTCGGCGCTTCAGATATGCGAGCCAGCTCCCGACGTTCAAATAAAAGAGTCGGCTCAATCGCGAATAGTGAACGACCCATCAAAAGCTCATTCGTGAACGAGTCGATCCATCACCTACGCTCCTCCGCGAACGACCCATCATCACTATCGACTAACGCTCATGAATTGCGAACGACCTATCATAACGCATAGTCAGACAGGAATAAACGGACACAAGGAATAACACAAGCCAGTCAGTCAACGAGAGACAGGTATGCCGACGAGCCCAAATAATCCAAAAGTAGCCTTCTCTAAATGGTATTGCTTATGTTAAGTTTTCATTTTCATCTGTCATGTCCATGCACAATATGTTGCGATCATCCATCCTCTAAAGAACAATCCAGATACAATTTCTCAGTGTTATTTATTTGTTAGTTTTCGTCTCAATGCGCTGGCATAACATCAGTGAGCGAGGGAGCAGCAGCACGACATTCATCTCAAGGAAGGAACACAAGTTGAGTCAAAATAAAAGTCCCCATTTGTTCACACATGCGCACAATGAACTCTTGCACAGTTTTAGTAACAGTAAATAGCATAAAGTAAAAACAAAATAACAGTAAGAAACATAAAATAATATAGTTATTGAGAACATATAACTCTACAGCTTAACAAACTTAATTTAATTTTCCCCAGTTGTGGCCTGTTGAGGGGCAATAAATATCAAAAGTTCCAAAACATCTATTGTGTTATTTGCATTGATCCACTATATAAATATAATATCTACATACATGGCATTTGATTGGAGGCTAGTCTCACTTTGTCCCACAGCAACATTTTTTTTAGATGTGTGTACAATGTTTCATGTTTCTGTTAATGTATTGTATTAAGTGTCCATTTCATTATAAAATTCTGATTTTTCATAAATAATTGAACATGCACATGTGTTTTAAGTTCCGTTAAATAGGGGTAGAGTTGGGGTCACATTTGAGCATTTAAAATTTAATTTTACTTGACAGTAACGCAATAGTTACTTTCTTAAGTAACAAATTACTTTTTAAAATTTGTAACTGAGTTACTAATTTAGCTACTTTTTGGAAGAAGTAACTAACTAATTACTTTTTAAAAGTAACTTGCCCAACACTGCTTAACACCTTTAACCTTATTTATTATCCTTAGGTTAGGTCGAGTAATTCAAATCTGCCCTAAATCATAAGCGTTCGAATGGTACTTACAATTTGTTCCGATGACTTCTCTGTGGTCAGTTCTTGCTCAAGGTTTATTAACACTGCTAGACAATTACTTGTAATTGGCATTAGTTATTTATTAATGTAAATATTCCAGAAAAAAAATTTAGGTTCAAACTTAAATTCTTTACACTCAAACTCTGGAATAGCCTTCCCGATATGGTTCGACGCTTTGACTCGCCGTCACAGTTTAAAACTAGACAAAAGACGCATTTCTTTAGCCAAGCATTCACATACTGCTTACCCTTTATTCCTCTGAATCAGATCGAATGCATTTAATACTATAACACTTGAAGAGTCTGTAGGTTACTTGTATAGGTTGCATAGTATTTACAGTCATTACTTTCCTGTGGGTATTGCGTGAATGATGTGTGGTTGGGCAGATATTGTGTTTTTTGCAGTAGGTGGTATGCCATACGGAACCGTTGCCACTGAAACCCATTACCTTAGTCAAACGGGTTGGCGCGTATGGTTGGTTTGCGGAGAGTTTGAGTTGTTGAGTTTGTGAGTGGTTTTTAACATCATCTCCTGTGTAATGGAAATCATTGTGAACATCAGCTATGCTAATTATTTCCCATCTGTTTTCTGCTGTAATCTCGGGACGCTTGTCCCGAGAAAATGGCGTTCGTCAGCTCCAGTTTGTATCCGGCCTCTCATGGAGACTTCAGATGCCCCAACACCTGCGATGAGAAGACTGAGAAATGCCTGTGAAGAGACGACTCGACGCCTGTGAAGAGACGACTCGACGCCTGTGGAGAGACAACTCTACGCTGGCGATATGTTATGCCCTTAATATTACATGATTAATGAAATGTATTTTTTTCATGTACCTTTCTGTAATGCACTTTCTGTAAAGCTGCTTTGAAACAAGTATTGTGAAAAGCGCTATTCAAAAACTTTAATTGAATTGAATTCACTTGCAGGGCCAACAGATGCAGAGCTTACAGTGGGGGAGCTTCACTGCAAAGCAGACAGGTGAGCATACAGGTACGTAATCAAAGCAGTCGGGCTGCCAGATAAATACACTCAACGGTCTGTGGAGTACAACAGTGTTAGCCTCTTCTTATGCAGTCAGAATGTGATAAACTCGGGTAAGAAATGGACATCCAGCGGGTTTAGGTTCACACTTCACACAGCAAACAGTGCTGAATTGTTCAGATGAAGTGATGTGATGCACTCAGTGGGAAATGCACATATATGGCTGTCGTCCATCTTCTGAACTGGCATTCACATCAAGAGGTCCCACAGACACAAGAGAGGAGGATGGAAATTGATTTGGACTACTCATGATCTCTCACAAATGATCTTCTGTCCCGTGGTTACCTCCTTCTCATTGAATCAGCCTGCTCTTTCTCCCAACTCGCAGCACCGTGCCCATTTGTCGGCCCCACTTCCTCTTCACCACGGCTCACACTTTCTCTGAGAGCACCACTCCTAAAACAATGCCCCGTTTGGTCCGTACTTCCTCCTTTTATACTCCTCTAATCGCAACATGTCCCAATCGCGAAGCTTTACCCATGCACAGCTGCCAGCGATGTTTGGCTGATCACCCCATTTTCGGGGATTTTTGCGCTACCCTGGAACTAGCCCAGTGTTCCTTTTTTTTGGGTCTGCGATAGGCAATCACGGCGAACATTAGTTACGCTTTGCTAGGGACAAAGGTGGATTTTGTCACCCGTGGCATGTACTTGTACAAAATTTACAATTTTATATTTGTGCATTTTCCTATCGTTTGTATTCATTTTATTCCTTTCTCTTGTCTTTGCATTTTTTTTCTAAGCCCGTTGTTTTTTGTTTGATTTAATGTCTTCCATCATCTCTCATTTATGCTATTTTAATTGTTAGTAATTATGCTGTTCTATGTTCCTGTCCAATTGACTATTTTATACCGATGGGGTTTGATTTGTGTGCATCTTGACTTGTTTGACTTGTGTGGGTCTTGACTTGTGTGGGTCTTGACTTGTGTGGTTCTTGAATTGTGTTTGACTTCTGTGGGTCTTGACTTGTGTTTGACTTGTGTGGATCTTGACGTGTGAGTCTTGACTTGTGTTTGACTTGTACGAGTCTTGACTTGTGTTGATCTGGAATTGTGGATCTTGACTTGTGTTTGACTTGTGAGTCTTGACTTGTGTGGATCTTCACTTGTGGTTCTTGACTTGTGTTTGACTTCTGTGAGTCTTGACTTGGTTGACTTTTGTGGGTCTTGACTTGTGTTGATCTGGACTTGTGGATCTTGACTTGTGTGAGTCTTGACTTGTGGATCTTGACTTGTGTTTGACTTGTGCGGGTCTTGACTTGTGTTTGACTTGTGCGACTCTTGACTTGTGGATCTTGACTTGTGTGGGTCTTGACTTGTGTTTGACTTGTGTGGATCTTGACTTGTGGGTCTTGACTTGTGAGTCTTGACTTGTGTTTGACTTGTACGAGTCTTGACTTGTGTTGATCTGGAATTGTGGATCTTGACTTGTGTTTGACTTGTGAGTCTTGACTTGTGTGGATCTTCACTTGTGGGTCTTGGCTTGTGTGGTTCTTGACTTGTGTTTGACTTTTGTGGGTCTTGACTTTTGGGTCTTGAATTGTGTGGGTCTTGACTTGTGTGGTTCTTGACTTGTGTTTGACTTCTGTGAGTCTTGACTTGTTTGACTTGTGTGAGTCTTGACTTGTATTGATCTGGACTTGTGGATCTTGACTTGTGTGAGTCTTGACTTGTGTTTGACTTTTGTTGATCTGGACTTGTGGATCTTGACTTGTGTTTGACTTGTGTGGGTCTTGACTTGTGTTTGACTTGTGCGAGTCTTGACTTGTGTTTGACTTGTGCGGGTCTTGACTTGTGTTTGACTTGTGTGAGTCTTGACTTGTGGATCTTGACTTGTGTTTGACTTGTGCGGGTCTTGACTTGTGTTTTTCACTTGTGTGGATCCTGACTTGTGTTTGACTTGTGTTGATCTTGACTTGTGTTTCACTTGTGTGGATCCTGAATTGTGTTTGACTTGTGTGGGTCTTGAATTGTGTGGATAATGCCTTCTATTGTCTCTGTAGCACAGGAGCACTTTTTGAAAGAGAATTTATTAATGTCATGAAATTGATTTGACATTTGCTTTTGTATTTATGGCTAGGCCACTTGTACCATTTTAAGCCCCTTTCCCCTTGTTAATACTCATTTTGTGTTATGACCATTTTTTTTTGTCTGGTCTATTTGCGCTGATGATATTGTGCTTGTTTGCTATTCTTTGCATTCATTTGATCTTTTAATACTTCCATACCTCTGTTACCTTTCCCTTTAAACTACTTGTAAATATGCCCTTGTCCTATTTGTTTTAGTTGTATAGTGCTTCTCAAAATAGTTTAAAAGTGTCTTTATTCCACTTAATTTTAGCCTTTGTGTTCCTTTTCATCATTTAGATTGGTTTGTCCTAGTATCCTCTTCGAATCCCTCATTTAAGTTTGATTGTCAAATGATGGCCTTTGTTCATTATTTCTTATGTGTTTTTTTGATATTGTCTTTACAAAAGTGTAAAAATACAAAATTTTAAAGTCCCTATTTTTTTGCCCCTTGCTTCATGCTCCTTTTTTCCCTTTTGTAGAAATGTTAATGTTTTGTATTTATGCTGTTGATTGAATGTATTACATTGACAAATGTAAGGGAATACAACAGGCAATCATTTTATTCTATACATAAATGTTTGAAACAACAAAAAAAGATATGCATTAACTGTACTGTCATTTTAATGCATTGTATTTTTAGGTGTTGCATTTTTATGGTCTGAAGTTAAATATCTCCAACTTCTTAAATGTTACTGTTCAGAGAGAGAGTGTGTGTGCTTACTGAGAAGGAACATGGCATTCTTGTACGTACAGTCACTGCAAATCTTCACTACATTAATGCCTTTTATTATTTATACTTTTATAAAGCTGTACAAGTAATTTGCTTTGTACAACAACATAGTCCTGAAACTGCTGCTGTTGTATTTATGCCTTCACCTCATGTATTTAAGTTTTTTTTTTATTGTCACAATGGCCCTTTTTGTATTTGTGCATTTTTACCATCTTTTGTATTAATTTTATTCCTTTTTCTTGTCTTTGCCTTTTTTTCCTAAGCCTATTTTTTTGTTTTGTTTATGATTTAATGTCTTCCATCTTTTATTAATGCTCCTTGTCTTAGTCAATGGGACAGGGACATAGAACGCTTTTAGAAAAATGGGAATGGGCATAAAAAGGCTTTACTCTGTTCTATTTTGTATTGAAAGGAACTGCATCAAATGGTTTGTATGTACTTTTTGCATAATTATGCACTTGTTTTTATTCTCTTACTGTCTTTTGTATGTTCTCATGGTCTGGGCATCATTTTCTGCTTTGGTTCATCACTGTTGTTGTGGTCACTTGTATTTTATGCTGCGATTTCATTCAGCCTGTTTGAATTTTGTTCTTCCCCTGATGGTATGGCTATCGGGTTCATGGGGTGCTTAGTTCTCCACATAAAAAGAAAATTCATTTTCATTAACTTCTGTTAAAGTGTTCAACCGTTGGAAGTGGGTGGGTGGGTGGGTGGGACTTGTGGATCTTGACTTGTGTTAGGGTTGATTTCAACCTTTCACCTCATCAGTCTATCAACTGCAGGTGCAAATCAAAGTTACTTGAGCTACAATATATAGGGGTGTATCCCACTCACAAAGAAAATTTCTTTTTTCAGTTTTTTTGTTTTTATTTATATTGTACTAAATGTAATTTTTGTATTTATGGTTTCGCCTCTTGTTCCATTTAAGATCAATTTTGTCTTTTTATTATCCCTTTCTATTTTATGACCCTTTTGTCTGTCTTTGTCTTAAACATTAAAAAAACAATAAAAATAAAAACCTAAATATACCATGAATGCATTTTTTTTAATTATATATCTTTCACTGGTTTCTAACATTTTCTGTCTGCTTTTTATGCTATTGTTTGCCTTTCTTGTATTGTAAAGCTTTGTATTGAAGTTGTAAACTTACTTTTTTGTATTTTGTTGCACTTGACTTTGTTTTCATTTTAATTTCTTTTTTTTTTACTTGGGTTAACAAAAGGCTTTAAAAAAACAGAACATGGAAACAAATATGGACCATAACCCGTGTTTTACTCTTATGACTTTACTTGTGCCCATATTTTGTAATTTGGAACACCCCATTTGTGAAGCCTAACCTTTTTTGCATTTTTAAAATTACTTTAAGTTTTTGTGAGGTTTATAATCTGTTTTGGTTTATTTTGTGTTCCCAACAGCTGGAGGGACCGGCCAACACAGGATAGACAATCCAGTCTGATGTCCTTCACACTCAGCCTCTCATTGATGCTGCTCCTCCCCCCCTCCTCTACCTGTGTCATCTAGTTAATGTGGCCTGTGTTTGTTGGCTACTTTCAGCCCTTTGGTTCATCCTTCATTTACCCTTTACACATTGAGTCCACCTTTGTGCCAAGCCCCAGACTTGTGGCGGAGCTGGTAATCTGAGGCCCAAGACAGGTCGACAGAGTGAAAGTTAGGTTGATGCTCTATCAGGTCCTCCATGGGCAGTTATTGCCCTGCAGTGCAGTGGTCTTGTCTCTGCCCAGGTCCCCATCTCTAATGGCTCCATCTGAGTTGGTTGTCCACCGAGTTGTAACTGGCACATTCACCAAAGGTCCCCCTATCATTTTATTGACTGTGTTTTGGCTCTACATCCCATCCTAAAGCAGCTTTGTCCACTTGACTTATTTTTGCTACTTTGTATTGTTTAACCTTGTTTTTTGTATTTCAGCACATTTTAGGTTTTTTATTTTAGGATTTTTTATGCCCTCTATATTTCAATCAGTCTGTCTTTTTTCCTTTTGTACAGTATTTTATTTACTAACTTCTATTTAAACTTTGTTCTGTGCCCTTTATGGTCTTGTCTAAGCTATTCTAAGACAGAACAAAATAAAGTTGTGAAGCATAAAAGCTGCATGTCTCAGATTATTCTTCCTATTGCCCTTTAGTGTTTGTATTTCTGCTGTTTGCCTTTTATGCCTCTGCCAGTTAAGTCCCTTTTTTGTGCCCTGTTGTAGTGATGGTTTTTACATCACCTGTTCCTTGTGGTGTTAGATTAAATTTGTAATACCCTTTATGCCTTAATGCTCCTTAATTTTTGTCTGGACTTATGTCCTTATCATGGTCTCAATGGCACTTTTTGTATTTGTGCATTTTTCCCATCTTTTGTATTTTGATCTCTTGCCTTTGCATTTGAACCATCACTGCTCTTGTCTTTGCATTTTCCCTTAGCCTATTTTAGTTTTATTGGCTTTTTATGATTGAATGTTTTCTATATATCTTTAATTTATGCTCCTTGCCTTGTAAGCCATTGTGCTGTTTTATGACCCAGTCCCATTGACCATTTTTATGCCCATTCCTATTTTTCTGGAACAGTTGTATTTTGTATTTAAATGTACTTTATAAAAGGTTTGCCTTTACTGTTTGTGTGTTTTGTAAATGTATGTGCCTGTTTATATTCTGACTGCCTTCTGTATGTTAGCATTAGTGGCTGTCTTACTACACCATTTTTCTGCTTTGATTCATCTCTATGTTCTTGTGCTGATTTTTATTTGTGCCTGATGCTGCTATTTCATTCAGCCTGTTTGAATTTTGTTCTCCCCGATGGGATGGTTGAGTTTTCTGGGTACTTGATTCATTTTCATGAACTTCTGGAAAACTGGAGATCTTTCTTTTCAAGTGTTCAGCTGCTGGACTTGGGTGGGTGGGACTTGTGTTGTACTTCAGTGGGTGGGTCTTGTCCAAGGTTGATTTTTCACCCTGCACCTCATGAGTCTATCAACTGCAGGTGCAAATCAAAGTCACTTAAGCTACAATATATAGGGATGCCTCCCACGCAATATATAGGGATGCCTCCTGTGCAGACACTTTTTTTTCTTAAGTGTTTTAGTTACATTGTACTAATCTTGTATTTATCTTAATTAAAAAAGGGACAGACAAACTATGGTTTCTCCTCTTGTTCCATTTGAATTTCTATTTTATGACCCTTTTGTCTGTCTTTGCATTTATTTTATATTTAGATCTTTATTTTAAAGCATTGTTTTTATTGTTAAATACATTTTAACTTGTTTCTTACATTATCTGTTACCTTTTATGCCATTGTTTGCCCCTTCTTATATTGTAAAGCTTTGTATGAAAGTTGTAAACTTGTCTTGTATTTTGTTACACTTTGTTTTGTTTTTCATTTTAGTTTTTAAACATTTTCAAAATGACTGTAAAGTACTTGTCGGGTTATAATCTTTTTTTTATAACCCATTATCCTGTGTTGGCCGGTCCCTCCAGCTGTTTAAACAGTCCAGTCTGATGTCCTCCTCACTCAGCATGAAGCCTCTCATTTATGCTCCTCCCGCCTCCTCTACCCATGTCATCTATTTAATGGGGCATGTGTCTGCTGGCTCCTTGCAGCCTTTTGCCTCATCCTTCATTGCACCTTGGGTCAACCTTTGTATTCCAGATTACCAGCTCCGCCTAGGTGTTGATCCTCTGTCTTTGTGCCAAGCCCCAGACTTAACTTTCACTCTGTCGACCTATCCGTTCCACCATGGGCAGTTATCCCTCAAGCTGTATCGGGGGTCTTGCCTTATTCCTTCAACCTCTGTGGATCTGCCTCTGCCCTGCAGTGCAGTGGTTTGTCTTGGGTCTTCAGCTCTGCCTAAATCCTCATCTCTAATGGCTCCATCTCATTTTATTGTCCCCCGGGTTCTGCTTGGTCCATTTACCAAAGGTCCACCTATCCTTTTATTGACTGTGCTACGGCCCTACATCCTGGTGACCTTGTTGGGGCTTCCTGCCATGTTCTGCCTCACTATTCCCTCCATTATCTCCTCTGTGGTGGTTCCCTCTGTCAGCACCTCCCTTGGTCACAGCTCTCTCAAGCTCCATATCAAAATGTCAATCATCCTCTGTCTCTTATTTAATACTGTTACAATTTCTTTTGATTTCTTCTAGTACTGTTGTATATTTCTGTTTCCTTTGTATATTTCTATTTCCTTTGTAAGTGTAGTTGTAACTAAATGCTCCTTTTTTATTTTTACGCTTACTTTTTGGAAAGTTACTTTTTGGAAAGTTACTTTTTGGAAAGTTACTTTTTGGAAAGTTACTTTTTGGAAAGTTACTTTTTGGAAAGTTACTTTTTGGAAAGTTACTTTTTGAAAAGTTACTTTTTGAAAAGTTACTTTTTGAAAAGTTACTTTTTGAAAAGTTACTTTTTGAAAAGTTACTTTTTGAAAAGTTACTTTTTGAAAAGTTACTTTTTGAAAAGTTACTTTTTGAAAAGTTACTTTTTGAAAAGTTACTTTTTGAAAAGTTACTTTTTGAAAAGTTACTTTTTGAAAAGTTACTTTTTGAAAAGTTACTTTTTGAAAAGTTACTTTTTGAAAAGTTACTTTTTGAAAAGTTACTTTTTGAAAAGTTACTTTTTGAAAAGTTACTTTTCGAAAAGTTACTTTTCGAAAAGTTACTTTTCGAAAAGTTACTTTTCGAAAAGTTACTTTTCGAAAAGACAGGTTGACAGAGTGAAAGTTAGGTTGATGCTCTATCAGGTCCTCCATGGGCAGTTATTGCCCTGCAGTGCAGTGGTCTTGTCTCTGCCCAGGTCCCCATCTCTAATGGCTCCATCTGAGTTGGTTGTCCACCGAGTTGTAACTGGCTCATTCACCAAAGGTCCCCCCTATCCTTTTATCGATTTTGTTTTGGCTCTACATCCTCCTTTGCCTTTTTGTTCATAATACTTTCAACTTTTTTTGTGGTTTCACTTTGTACAGTTTTGTATTCCTGTTTAAGTTTACTTTTAACATCATTAACATCTATACAAAAGTGTCAAAGGAGCATGATTTTGTATTTTTGCTGTTGATTGACTCGTATTAATGTCACACATGAAATTCAATTGACAACTTTTTGCTCTGCCATGCTTAACCGCTTTAAAGGGTTAGTTCACCCAAAAATGAAAATTCTGTCAGTATTTACTCACCCTCATGTTGTTCCAACCCCGTAAGACCTTCGTTCATCTTCGGAAAACAAATTAAGATATTTAAGATATTAAAATCGCTCCTGCATACAGTCCATAGGCTTCTTGAGGGACTGGCTCTTGCCGTCCCCGAAAAGTCATAAAAGACATCGTTAAAATAGTCCAAGTGACTACAGGGGCTCAATCTTAAGTTTATCAAACGACGAGAACACTTTTGTGCGCAAAAAAACAACAAAAATAACGACTTTATTTCAACTATTCGTTTATTTCTCCCTCTGCGCGAGTCAGCTAACTAGTTTAATAGCGTAAGCTTCTGTTATTGTACGTCACACGCATCACACACACATGACCAGCGTCGACCAATAGTGAGCCTACGTGTGACGTAGCTCTACGCAATCACACTACGTTAACGGACTATAGGCTTATGGAGAAGGAAGTGAATAGTTGAAATAAAGTCGTTATTTTTGTTGTTTTTTTGCGCACAAAAGTGTTCTCGTCGTTTGATAAACTTAAGATTGAGCCCCTGTAGTCACTTGGACTATTTTAACGATGTCTTCAATTACTTTTCGAGGACAGCAAGAGCCAGTCCCTCAAGAAGCCTATGGACTGTATGCAGGAGCGATTTTAATATCCTAAGTATCTTAATTTGTGTTCCGAAGATGAACGAAGGTCTTACGGGGTTGGAACAACATGAGGGTGAGTAAATACTGACAGAATTTTCATTTTTGGGTGAACTAACCCTTTAATGCTTTTTATTTAAAAGCAGCTTTGTCCACTTGACTTATTTTTGCTACTTTGTATTGTTTAACCTTGTTTTTCTATTTTATTTTTTTTCAGTTCATTTTAGGTTTTTTTATTTTTTTTTTTCAGTTCATTTTAGGTTTTTTTAAAGGATATTTTTTATGCCCTCTATATTTCAATCGGTCTGTCTTTTTCGCTTTTGTACAGTATTTTATTTATTAACTTCTATTTAAACTTTTTGTTCTGTCTTAGAATAGGTTAGACAACACCATAAAGGGCACAGAACAAAATAAAGTTCTCAAGCGTAAAAGCTGCACGTCTCAGATTATTCTTCCTTTGCATTCCTATATTCCCCTTTAGTGTTTGTATTTCTGCTGTTTGCCTTTTATGCCTCTGCCAGTTAAGTCCCTTTTTAGTGCCCTGTTGTAGTGATGATTTTTACATATTTATACATTGTGGTGTTTGATTAAAGGAGCATTAAGGCATAAAGGGTATTACAAATTTAGTTTAGTCTCTGCACTTATGTCCTTATCGTGGTCTCAATGGCCCTTTTTGTATTTGTGCATTCTTCCCATCTTTGCATTTTCCATAAGCCTATTTTAGTTTTATTGGCTTTTATGATTGAATGTTTTCCGTATATCTTTAATTTATGCTCCTTGTCTTGTAAGCCATTGTGCTGTTTTATGCCCATTCCTATTTTTCTGAAACAGTTTTATTTTGTATTTAAATGTACTTTATAAAAGGTTTGCCTTTACTGTGTGTATTTTGTAAATGTATGTACCTGTTTATATTCTGACTGTCTTCTGTATGTTAGCATTAGTGGCTGTCTTATACACCCTTTTTCTGCTTTGATTCATCTCTGTTCTTGTGCTCATTTTTATTTGTACCCAATGCTGCTATTTCATTCAGCCTGTTAGAATTTTGTTCTGGGTTGAATTGTGTTCTTTATTTTTAAAGCATTGTTTTTATTGTTAATAAATATGTTTTAACTTGTTTCTTACATTATCTGTTACCTTTTATGCCATTGTTTGCCCCTTCTTATATTGTAAAGCTTTGTATGCAAGTTGTAAACTTGTCTTGTATTTTGTTGCTCTTTGTTTTGTTTAAAGTCATTTTGAAAATTTTTAAAAAATAAAATGTAAACAAAGTACTTGTCAGGTTATAATCTTTTTTTTTTTAAACCCATTATACTGTGTTGGCCGGTCCCTCCAGCTGTTTAAACAGTCCAGTCTGATGTCCTTCTCACTCAGCATGAAGCCTCTCATTGATGCTCCTCCTGCCTCCTCTACCCATGTCATCTATTTAATGGGGCCTGTGTCCGCTGGCTTCTTGCAGCCTTTTGGCTCATCTTTCATTGCACCTTGGGTCAACCTTTGTATTCCA